CTGAGTTCGAGCCCTAGGCTGACAGCGCAGAGCCTGCTCAGGATTCCCTCTCTTTCTCCCCCTCTCACCTCCTCCCCTGCTCATGCTCTCTCTCTCAAAATAAATAAATAAACTTAAAAAAAAAAAAATGTGTAACATACGTCTTAAATCGCTCTTCTAATTCCGTCCTAAAGCCCTGTAGGATAAGTCATGTTTGAGGTTTCTGTTTCAGACATCTACTGTTTATTGAGATAGGAGTATTGTTTAGAGTTAAAGGTTAGGGGCGCCTGGGTGGCGCAGTCGGTTAAGCGTCCGACTTCAGCCAGGTCACGATCTCGCGGTCCGCGAGTTCGAGCCCCACGTCGGGCTCCGGGCTGATGGCTCAGAGCCCGGAGCCTGTTTCCGATCCTGTGTCTCCCTCTCTCTCTGCCCCTCCCCCCGTTCATGCTCTGTCTCTCTCTGTCCCAAAAATAAATAAACGTTGGAAAAAAAAAATTAGAGTTAAAGTTTAAAAAAAAATGTAATTGTTAACGCCCCTCCCCACCCCCAGGTCTGGCACTTTCCGGCAAGATGACCAAGGCGGTGAAGCGACAGCTGAGAATTTCCTCACGGTGATCTTCTGCTTCTTTAGTACTATTCTATCATCAGTACGGTTCAAATTTCACTGTAAGAGACAAAAGGTGTGAATGTTTCCTGTTTGTCATTAGAACCGAAAGCTTTATTTGAGTTTATTTTACAAATTGGCTGCACAGGTTTTACATGACCCATTGGTTTAAATTTCCTTCACAATTACCTACTTTGCACACCGCCCTTTTGCGCTTTGATAGGCTACGAAATATAACCACACAGTCCGCAGTTAAAATTGTTGAGAGAACTTCTCATCTAAGTGGAACATTTGTTCTCCATCATCACTTCAAGCGTACGTCACTGAGGCTACCTCTCTACATACTCTCAATCTACCTGACGTCGTTATTTGCTAAAAATTCCAGTTCAAAATATAAAATTCTTGGGATGGGGGGAGGTTTTCTCTAACTGCTGTCGCATATAAAACGTACAAATCCCATTGGGAGTTTTTCCAATTGTCGTTGCCTGAGTTCTATTCAGGTTAATTGCAGAGTGCCTATTCAACCATTCTAATCAATATAAGGGAAAAATCCTTCAAAGAAAAGGGAAGGCCAGGATGAGGAAGACTCACTTATTTACCCAGTGTAGACATAATGCACGCTCATTAAAGGAGTATTAGGGAGAGGCCGTTCGAAAGACAATAGTCATATTTGTACTAGACCTATCTATGTGTACTGTACTTTGGAGTCTTCAATACAGAACTGAAATTTGAATTACTTCATAATCAGCACATCGTGGTGAACCAGAACACTAAATACAAAAAGCAAAAGGAAGACAATGACAGGTACACAAAAAGGATGACATGTGGCAGAGAGGAAGCAAAGTATCAACCAGGCAATGACAAATCAATTGCAGCTTTGAGGACTAAGATAGTTAGCCTCAAGTTGTCTTGTTTTGTTTTGTTTGAATATGGCACTACGTACATTCCGGGGTCCCTTAATCAGAAAATTCAGCATTTCCAGGATACTACCCACAGCATGCACAAAAGAAGATGGGTGTGCCTGGGTGGCCCAGTCTGTTGAACATCCGACACTTGATTTTGGCTCAGGTCATGATCCCAGGGTTGTGAGACGAACCCCGCATTGGGCTCCACGTTAAACATGGAGCCTGCTTAAGATTCTCTCTCCCTCAGGGCGCCTGGGTAGCTCAGTAGATTAAGCGACCAACTCTTGGTTTCAGCTCAGGTCATGATCTCACGGTTCACGGGCTCAAGCCCCGCGTTGGACTCTGCACTGACAGTGCAGAGCCCGCTTAGGATTCTTTCTCTCCCTTTCTCTCTCTGCCCCTCCCCTCTCTCTGTCTCTAAGATTCTCTTTCCCCCCCTCTCTCTCCCCCTCTGTCCCTCTCCCCCTCTCCCCACTCTCTCTCTCTCTCTCAAAAAAACAAATAAAAAGAAGACAAAAATATAAGCAAAAAAACCTCTCTCGTTGCCCCAAAACTAAAGCTGAGCACATTACTCATAACAGAACATCCTATTCTCAGATTAGAAACCCATTTCCTATTATCCTAGAGTCAATTCTGATAAGCCTGCTTATTGGTGTCTTTAATTCAACATAGGAAATCAGGATGGGGAACCGGGTTTGAGGGAGGAGACAGGAAAGTATAAACCACAAAGACAAAAGTGCGAGCACTCTGAGATCCTTTAAAGTACAAGGGACTTGTGGGACCTCCAGCAGCCTGCCGTGGCTTCACGTCCACATACCCACGCCACCATGAAAGCACTCAGCCATTCAAGGAAGATCAAACTACGTTATTATTTCACAAAGGCAAATTAGTGCACCACAGATTGCTTCTTAAAAGAATTTTATCGAAAGCAGTTTTGTTTTAAATTCTAGACCTTAATAGACCGCTCCATTAGAAAATTCACTTGTGAAAACCAGGCTAGATAGGATTTTACTACTAGTAATCTGATGACAGTGAACTCTCTCTCTCTCTGACCTCTACTCATAGAATAGTCACTGACCTAATTTACAGTGGGAGGAAATACACCGATTCTTTTCCCCCAATAGATCTGCTTGCCCAGGCCCCGGTGACCAATGGTGTAAGGCTGAGGCCGGTGCTATTGAACACAACAATCCTAAAACATGCCTGAAATCTGTCCAACGTTTCCTTCCGAACCAGGCTATAGAAAGAAAACAGAACAGAACGAGGAAATGGCGTAGACTGGACTCGAGATGCGTGCAACCCCGAAAGCAAGTCAGAGCAAGGCCCCGGGGCTGAGGCAACACTTTCAAAATCACTTCAGATGAATGGAAGTTCTATTTTTAAATAATTTTCCTTAGTTTAGCTCTCAAGATGTTTGCAAGATGACACAGAGATCACATCAAATTCTGATCTTTGGGTTTCAAAATCTACTTTTTCCATTAGAGAATTAAAGACTTCACTGCCTTTTTGTAAGTGACAAGCTCAGAATTACTCTGTCAGTGGCAATGCCCCGTAATTGTAGAATCCAATCATTTTTACTTAATTTCACATCCACCAAATATTGTCCCAAGCTCACGCTTTCCTTCAATCCATTCTTTCAACAAATACTTACTGAGCATTTACTCTGCTAGTTACTAGGTTTGAGCGCAGAGACTCAACAGGGAACATAATATACAGTCCGTGTCTAGTGCACTTAGTACATTTAGGGAATGAAATGGAATTCAATGCCATCTAGTTTCTTGGTGACTCTTTGAGATGGTTATAGACACTCCAAAGAGTAATAAGGTCTGGGCTTGGGATTTCATGTAACAATCGTTGAGCGTGACCATGACAGATCTGATACAGACACTTGAATGTCTCCGGTTATGTTTACCTGCATGTTAAATTATCAGAGGTCCAAAGGTTTAAAACCTATTTTTATTCGCTAATACTTTTCCTCCATATGGGCACGCCGAGTACCAAGCTAACTTTTAGAGTTCAACTTTCTCACCTTTTAGGGAAAGAGGGAAAACACATAAAATAAATTTTAAAAAGTAGTGAGATTAGCTCAAGATCCTCTTCTTTAATACAAAAACTATGGAGAAAACATGGCAACATAAAGACTGTTTCCCCAAGCTGAGGCTAACCAACTTTGATGTTCAAGGAACCCTAAGGCATTTCCTTTTCTTAGAGAATATCTGAAGGAATATGAACCAATCTGGCTGCTGAGAGTAAGTAAATTACATCCACCACATTTCCACCGCTTCAACGCTCGACCCAGCACTGCTACTAAATATCTAAACCTGGGATGACAGCAGAGAATAAATACTGAGTGTAAGGGAGTTACGACACGACACTTCTTCAAAAAAACAAAAACAAAAACAAAAACAAACCTCGAGCCAAAGAAAGACAATGGGAAAGACACAGATATTTTAGGCGAGACCGCTAAAAAAACGTGTTGCCGTGCAATACAATCTTAGGATTCGTTAATTTTTTTTTTTTTAACACACACCTTTGAGAATCTCAATCGAGGAGTTGGGACTCTAATTCAAAAATGAAACCGAACCCAGAAGAAATCGGTTTCTTCCGAATAGTCATGGGCTTCTAGAATGCTTTTTAGGAAATTATACCTAATTAGCCTATTCATATGTGTAAGTTTTAAGCATATCCAAATTTTATACATGTCTACATAAAGGGGAGAAGAGGAAAGAGCCATATTTAGCTAGGTAATTCAAATAATTTTTTTCCCCAAGTTAATCAGCGATGCCATGAGGCAAACCTTATCTTGCCTAAAAAAGCAGAGATGCGTGATTAGTTAACATTTAAAAAAGTTCATTAGTTAACATTTAAAGGAAATTGTCCTGCTAACCAATGGCATTCTTCCAAAAATGTGGTTAAGCAATGAACTCAAGCTCAAATGTGACACATAAACAGATGCCATTATCAACTGTAAAGTAAAACATCCAAAGCAGCTGTTTTTATTCTACGATAAACAACATACCCCGATTATATATACACAGGTGTGCTTGTAAAGTAAATCCGATTAACACATGTTAAACTTAATAGATTCCCGTGGTCTCCAGATGCCAGACTGGATAAAAATTAGGGCACTGCTTTGGTTACTCTTTGAAACATGTGAATCTGTGCTGAGAATAAGTGAAACGCAAAACCCTGATACTTAGACACTGTGCTGGCTAACACAATACCTGCACTTCCCTGTTTAGTAGCCATCCTCTATAGTTTGACAGGAATTATAATTAGAAATAATGAGAGCAATGTCCTCAGTTACTCCACCTTTAAATTATATTTCTCAAAGACTTATCCTGTGAAATGACTAATGATTATCCTACCCTGTTCACGTGAGAACTTAAGAAACCTCCCTCAGAATTCCGTGACAGCTTTACACACGGAAAAAAGGCACATACGTGTAAGAAAAGCTCCCACAAGTGTCACTTTTGAAATTCAAAAACGGCCTTAGCCAAAAAGACATTGCCAAAGTAAAATTACACATTTTATTCATTCATTCCATCAGCTGAGAATCGCTCTATTGTACAAATACAGCATTGTACAAAAAAATCACAAAATGTTACAAAATAAAAAAAGTACAAACTGCAGTACTTAATAAATAGGACTGAAAGTAGTTAAAGTGGAAATAAGATAGATTTCAGGTTGGGAACACTGTTTGACCCAGCAAACCATACAAGATCTGTTTACAGACATTTTTATTTGTACATAATACAGGGCAATCCTATTTTGCCTTTTGAGAGAATTTAAAAGGAATAAAATATTAAGACGGTATTCTCCTGCTGTGAAACAACCGCCACGGTTGATCCAAGGCATTTATGCTGTTAGTTTTTCAAATCTCTTAGTTGAATCCGAGAAGCCATACAAAGCAGGAGGCTTATCTTGTCACAAAGTTAAAATGCTTCTATAACAAAATGACAAATATAAATAAAAACAGTTCAGAGCACCAATCTACTCTAAATGCCAACCAAACTACAAGAAGAGTTGTCACTGTACCATCAGCAAACATCAGACTTTCATTCAAGTAAGCTGGTACTATCCCTTAAAGAAAACTCCCACAACCTTCCCTTAAGTGTTTCTCTTTAAAAGGTTTACCATTTCTAGAAAAATAATGATTTCCAAAACAACAAATCTGGTTTTCATCAAAATGGAATGGGCCAATCAGTCTGGTAACACGAACGCATCAATATCCACTCGAAATAATTATCTAAGAATCGTAAAATTCAAAGTGAACAACATAAAATCACTACTAAATCACAAAACTCTGTTCAAAGTAAGAAACTTCATGTAAAGCGCTTCTCTGGATTTATGCTGGAAAGCTGTCAAAATGGAACACACGTCATAGGTGAAGGTACACCAATTTTTAAAAATGTTGTGCAAAAATACATTTGTGTAGAAAACAGATGACCAGGAATGAACAAATTTACACCGTGAGAAACTAGCTTGCAAATTAAGTAGTGCCAACTTTATACAGCAAATTATAAATAGCAGTAGGACAGTAGGATCACCGAAAGCCATCATGAAACATCATTTAGGTGCCCAGCAACCTTCAGCTCTGAGGAGAAAACATTCAAAAAAATGATTAAGGCATTACACCTACAGTAAATCTACTAGGAAGTTTAAAAGTGCTATTACCCTGATTAGAGTTCATAATTCTCCCGACACAAATCACGTATGCAATTCTCCCAGGGTGTGGGTTTTCAGCCACTTCAAGAGCATGCATTTTGTTCAATATACATTTTGGACAGGGATATGGCCATGGATTTGGCAAGTTCCTCATCGCGTTTTCTCTGCACTTGAGTCTGTTTGCACCAACTGTCATACTCTGGGTTAGGATAGGAGTGATCGAACACCGCATCATAATGTCCATTACTGAGCCAACTGAGCCAAATACTAGGCCTTAGGGAATCCTCTGGGCCCAAATAGTGAATCATGGTAGACACCGTGGGGCTCTCCAACCTCCCTCCAGTAGTTAAATGTATATTCACATTCAGCATCTGCCCCATGGCCAGCAGCTCCGGGTACCCGGCCCACGCCCCGTCTTGAGCAGCAGCGATGATGAACTCCCCCACGTCGCCCTCAATCAGGGGGCTAAAGTGGTCAAGATGATCGGCGATGTAATGCACCGTCTGTTCCCTCAGCTCTCGGTGCAGGCTCTGGTCCCCGTACACCGTCTTGCTGACCGCCCGGTAGAGGCAGTTGCCGTCGGGAATGATGTGAAAACGGTACTTATTCCTCTGTCGCAGGTACTTGTCCTGCCTCTCCACCTCCGCCAGGTACAGGGCCAGTTTCTCGTCTCTGGGATCCGACCTGGAGACGATCACCGCCTCGGCCCCGCCGCTCTGGGCGGCCTCGCCGCCCCGCGCCGGGGGCGCCTCGGCCTCCGGGTCGGACCGCCGTGCCTCGTCCGCGGCGGGAGGGTCGCTGCGGTCGCCCGCCCTCTCCCAGCCCCGGAGGCTCCTGTCCGCCGGGTGCTCCTCGCCCCACGGGCCGGGGCTGGGCTCCGGGCTCCCCGGGGGCGGCGCGGGGCCTCGGTGCTTGGCGGCGGCCAGGGCCTGGCGGTGCTCGCTCAGTCGGAAGTTTCTGTCGGGGCCCTCGCGGGCCGCGTCCAGGCCCGCGGGCTCGGGGCAGTCGGGCCTCAGCAGCTCCTCC